AATTGAAATCGTTACTGGACAAATTGTCCGCTTCGGGGCAGTTTGGTGTTTAAAACACACAAATTTGCATGTTCAGCAGGAAAATATAGCCATTACACAAGTTCGCGATTATTTTCTAATTATTTTTAAGCCCCGAAAATGGATGTTTATTTAATTTCTTCTCTATATATATTTACGAAGATAAAAAGAATGTCACACTCGTGCGAGATATTTCACTCACAGAGTATAAATTATTATATATTCGTATAATTTCTAGATGCGAATTAAATTTAATTAAGTTTTGTTTAATTATCTCCGTTATCGAGCCGAAACTCTTATTTATTTCTATTTAACGTCTAATTTATTAACTCGTGCGAAAAAGACAAGTTTTCTAAACAGTCTTGGCAATTTTAAGAGCTAAATACACGTCGCTGGAATTACAAAATATACGGGCGAGAATTACGCGGAAAACGGCAGGGAAAAAAAGGGAGCCCGAAAGAAAAATAGACGGGAGAAAAGAGAGAACGCGCGGAAACTTCTGCCGAAATTCTGCCCTACGTCCCTTCGGCTGTTTATATTCCGCCCTTACTCTCTCGCAACCCTTAGCAGTCGCGGCGGTCTTCTCTTCTTTGCTCCACTTCGTGCGCGGTCGTTCGCTTTTATTTTATTTTATTTTATTTTACCCGGACTTTGCGTTTTCTTACGAGCCGGTCCGCGCTCAAGCGAATTGAAAGCGGAAATTGCGAGATCCGCACGTGATCCCCGCTTATTAAAAGCGACGAAAAGACGGATATTGGCGCGTCAAAACTCGCTTCGATATTCTGCACAGCAATACACGTAATTACTGGGGGCTTTAGACATTCCCAGTCAAAGTCGGAACCGGGCTTCGATCAGTTTTCGCTCGATATCTCGATACTGATCCGACTCGAGAGCGGCAGCTTCGAGGTTTCGTAATCTCCGTCGATTTTACACTTTTTCTAACTTTAAGATTGTATTTTTGAGATTACGCTATTTAACTACTTGGAAGAGTTATCGTGAAATTAATTATGAGCTGTTTACTTCGAAAGCGGCGTTAAGTCAATTCAGAAGCGCGCTGTAAAACGCGTAAGCCATCCCCTTGTTTGCATTTTGATAATGACCACGAACGGGAAGAATTATAATTAAAATAATTAAATAATTATACTCAGATAAATGGAATTAAAAAAATTATGCGTACGTAAAGTAGCAGCAGAATTACACTGCGAACCGTATATAATACGTTGCAAGAGTATACAAATAAAAAATTGCGTTGTAATTAGATTAGAACGAAATATCAGCATTATCATAGTACAGCGTCAGCTGTGCGTGCGCTATAATCAGTGATGGGTAAGATACATTTAAAATGTATCTCGATATATAACAAAATATATAGATACAAATACACAAATTAAAATGTATATAGATACAGATACTCAGATACTTTAAATTATTTCAGATACTTTTAAATTATATTTTGTCATAATAATGGTAATATGCACAAAATGTGCTAAATCTCTCTTATCTTTATTAATATTTTTGTTTATATTACGACTTTATTAAAATTTGACCAATGTTTAATAATCGTTCAACCGGCGTTGATAACTTGCAGTCTTGACCTTTTAAAAATTTAAAGAACTGGGCTATTCAAAAAAATATGTGAAAATGTATCTGAAGAAAGCAACTCGGATACCATATGTTTTAGATATAGATACTTCAATTCGAACATATCTCAGATACATAAAATGTATTCAGATACTACCCATAACACTGGCTATAAAAAATGCACCGCGACGATAAAATACTAAATAACATCTATATTTCGCGGATCGAACCGCGGTTCTCGCTACTATACTATACCGTAATGCAATTCGATGATTCGCGAAACATTATTAAAGGCCAGTAAACTCGGTGCCACGTTCGATTGGTCATCGCGGTAACGAGTAGTCGACGTAGAGAGGAAAGAGAGAGAACCGCGAACGTAATCATGCGAGTCCGATCGGCGCGAATAATCGCGCCAATCGCGGCGCAGCTCCGTGTCCTGTCGCGAATTGTATTTCCATAACTCTTTTATATTACATACTTTATAGCCGCGGGGATAGATTTTCCGCGTTAAAAAGCCGCGTTCGATTTCGCCGCCCAGTCGGAGTAATAGACTCGCGCACAGAAAAAACAGTATCCTCGAGAGAATGCAAATATGCCTTGATTCAAGTATTTTGTCCTTATAATAGCGCCAAATATAAATAATTTTGGATAAAGGATAATTTATCCTTAAAACAAAGTGCAAAATATTCTTGGTTGAAGCTGAAATTTACTTATAAATATTGCGAGGACAAGTGACAAGTGTGCATCGGATATAAGCGGTACTTTCAAATATATATAATAATTCATAGTTCAAATGTGACTAAGTTTGTTTTTACCATATGCGATTTTTAAAACAAGAATATATCTTAAGGATAAAATATATTTTACACAAACTTATTTATTATTAAGGCAAATGAAAATTTGTGATTACAAAGAGCATTCTATGCTTAAATCAATCAAGAATAAAAATATACTTGAATCAAGGATTCCTTTTTTTCTGTGCGCGATACACATGCAAAAATTAATTAACGCAGGAAAACTTCGGGAAAAGGAGGAGGAGAGATACGGCCGAACTCGATAAAGTAAAACTGTATTTTTAATATGTTATGAAAACCGGTAAAAAGCAACATGTATCGCGCGCGTATTACTTTCATTTAAGTAAGTCGGGATATAGCACTGAAAATACGTAGATACTTTCGAGCTGGCAATTATACCGGAGAAAACAATTACGAAGTTTCGCGAGTTAATCCGAAAAAAATGTGAAGAACGAGTTGCACAATGTATTACGCCGGGATCGATAAAAAAGAAAAACTCAGCGTTTTAATCTGTTAAAAGCTATTCTATGATGTATCGTAAGGATTGCACGGACATTCGTTTAAATTATACTGTTTATCGAATTAAATTAACTTAAACACATAGAGACTTTCTCTGTGCGTATGCTCTACTTTTAAAATTAAACTGAAAGAAACTAATTTAACAGATTAAATTTACATTTCTTCTCTCCGACTATACGCGAAAGATTAACATTTTCATTGTTATAGTAGATCGGCGGATATTCGGCGATCGAAACGTAATATAGTTTCAAACACATCGGATTATATTGCAGCACGACTTTGCTCTATTATTGGAAGGGACGATGGAGATAAAAAAGATGGAAAAAAGAGACATTAATCGCGAATTTGTTGCATCACTCTCGACTCGTAACGGAACCAAGGATGAAAGGACGAGGTTCGTCTGAATCTCGATATTCTCGTTTACGTGGCTGGAATGCAATTCCGCGGGATTCGATAAAATCGCGCTTCCCTATCTCTCTCTCTCTCTCTTCTTTTGCTCGAAGGGTGAATTGTCTCTGCCGACTGTTCCGTTGTTCCGGAACGGCGAATCAAGAAGTTTTGGCAACGAGCTATCTCGTGGTAACTCTAGGGAGAGAAAGGAAGAAGTCGATTGTAAAGAGCAGCTCTCTTCCAACTCTTCGATTTAGTTGTGCGTTCTTCTCACATCTTCACTACTCTTCCCTTCGTAGCTCGATGGGGGAAGAAAATGTATTCCTGCTGACAGACGACAATTTGCGACATATCGTAATTTTGATGGAAATGTACGGTTATCGTGGAATATCTGGGATGCCAGCGAAACCGTTGCCAGAGGAACTTCGCAGACGTCGACAAGTAATAATGAAGAAGCAAAACGGTTTTGTGTTTATAAAGCGAAATATTTGCTTCGGTACGTGATTCTGTTGGATTTGTAGCGAAATAGCGAAATTTCGCGTGGCTTTCCGAGATATTTACTATTTTAGAAGAATTTTCCGCAAAGCTATTATTAAACCCAAAATGGCAAACGATGCCAGAATAATGTGTAACATTTACGGCATCTATATAATTTTCGAGTAAAGTGAAAGAGAACTTGTGTAAAAAAAAAAAAATAATAAAATGTGAAAATTAAAAAAAACTAATAATAATTTACGACTCGAAAGATAGATTCGTCTATCTGTCAAAAGTACTTTTCCATGTTCCTAATTTTTTCGACTACCAAACATTTGTCATTCGAGTAACGAAATTGAAAGATTCGACAATTATCAATCGAATCGATATAAATCTGAACAAGTCAAACTTCTCGCAAACTCACTCGTTGCATTTCTGCCAAACTGTCAAAAGAGGGAAGAGCAACAATTTTACACATTTCCCGTGAGATATGTGCACCGATTAAAGAGCGATTTATCCACGTTCGCGATATAGAAAATCCTCAGGATGACGGATGCTTACATCGCGTGCGAGGGATCCGAAGGAACAGAACGAGAAGAGGAAGACGTACTTCTTCCTTCTTCGTCGCGCACGCGAGGGAAGAAACTCGTGCTTTCTCGGTGCCGTTTCAATATTTCGGTCACATAGCCGAGAAGGAGAGGTTTTTGGGAAAAGCCGCGCGAAGGACGGAAACCAGATCACGAGGATGGGACGCGAGCGATGGAAGGAGATAGAGTCCTTTTTTTACGTCCTTCTTCCTCCGCAAAGAATCTCGCCCCAACAAATCTTCTCGAGGAACCTCGAACTCGTCGAAGGCGCTGCGAAAAAGTCCCGACGAAGCCTTTTCCCGATCCCGTCTACTTTACTTGAGAACGCGCTATAGCGAGCTTACGCTCTCTTTATCGACATTCCGTATTTTATTATCTTATACCTATCGAGAAAAAGAAGCCGCTCTCATGGGGGAAAATAAAATACGTTCCATCGCAAATATTATCATACAATAAATCACATAATTAATGTGATATTTTTGAGATAATTAAAACACTATTAACTGTTCAATGTTATATTTCCTACTGTTTAATTTAATTCGATATTTTATTTGAAAGGAAAACAATTTTTTTTACACGATGTATTTAAAACGAATTTTTGAGAAAGAGCAAGTGAGATATTCAAGGGTCGACTCACCGTTGTCGCAGGTCCTTTTGTTCCCGAGGAAGGCTGGGCGAGAAGCGCGAGTAGTTCCTACTGGACCTTGACGCCATTCTGGTGGAGTCGGAGTCGGTGCAAGGTCGTCGAAGTCGCTGGAACAAGAAGGTAAGAGCGAGCTGTTGAAGAAACTTACGTTTCGCATTGTAAAATTAAATATTAATTCGTTCGAAAAAAAAGATCAAGTTAAATCTCGCCGCGTTTAATTTCATAATGTCGCTTAGCATTGTCGCAATATAGTCCTATCTATTTCTTATTGATTCATTCACAGAGGGTAGACAAAATAACGCCAACATCTTGTTAATAATCTACAAATAAAAAGGCAATAAGAGCTACATAAGTTCTATACTAGAAATATATTTGTGAAAAGATTTCTAACATAAATTATTAAATATTATACAGAAGTAAGTTCGATTCGTCGTACGTTTCGGTTGTCTTTTCCAACCTTCTTCAGCGCATCAATTAATAATTAAAATATTAGTATAAATTAAAAATAAATTAAAAATAAAAATCTTGTTAATAAACAAATATAAATATTTGTTTTCACAAGTGTTCACATTATTTTGTCTATCCGGTGATTATCGTGCGATACTCTGCGTTTACGACGCGTCCCGAATCCTGACGGTCCATGAATGCGCTTCGCGTTATCCTTGCCGAGATAACGAGCTCGAGAACAGACCGAGTATACGTAAAGTGGATAGAGGCGAAACGGAGACGGAATACCGTATAACGGGGTAAAACGGGATTTCCTTCCTTCGTCATACCCACTTTGGGAAACTGGGGCTCGTCTAACTTTCCGGCGTCCATAGATTTCGGCGCCGTTAAGGTCGCGGCGGTCGAAGCCGATAAGAAGCTCACGATTTATAGCGATCCCGTTCGATCGCTCGCACAGGAGAAAAGAGGCCCCCATTGTCTTCCCGCGAATACCGAGAGCCATGATAAATTTCGAGACGAGTCGGCAAGCAGGCTTCAGACCGCGCGATAAAATCGTACGTTTTACGACGGGATCGAATGTTGTATCTTGTGTATACCCCGTGGGAATTGTCCCACATTTTCTCCCCGGCGAAAAAAATCGCGCGATATCTCTCTACTAATTTTTTATTTGCGTGCTATTTCATTATAACAAGAGAATAAAAAAAATATTTAGATATCTCTATTCTAGATTGTTAATAATAAAATATATAATGCGGAAAATATTTCTTGGAAAAAAATGAAGTATTAAAAAAAAGAACTTTATTAATTAATTAATATTAACAAGAGAATAAAAAAAATATTTAGATATCTCTATTCTAGATTGTTAATAATAAAATATATAATGCGGAAAATATTTCTTGGAAATATGAAGTATTAAAAAAAAGAACTTTATTTATTAATTAATTAATATTAACAAGAGAATAAACAAATATTTAGATATATTTCAATTCTATATTATTAATAATAAAATATATAATGCGGAAAATAATTCTTGGAAATATGAAGTATTAAAAAAAAGAACTTTATTTATTAATTAATTAATATTAACAAGAGAATAAACAAATATTTAGATATATTTCAATTCTAGATTATTAATAATAAAATATATAATGCGGAAAATAATTCTTGGAAATATGAAGTATTAAAAAAAAGAACTTTATAACTTTTTGTCGAAGCTCGAGTCTTTCCTAAGATGGAATATTTGGAGAATTCGTGCCGAAAGCTCAACTATAACCGTACACCAAGTCGTATGTCCATTAATGCATGGTCAGATTTGGCTTCGGGGTATCCTTAGCACGGCGTACCGAGCATATACGTCTCCGCAGGATCGAACGGAGTTTACGAAGACGACCGAACTTGCCTAAATATCCCTCGGCTACTACGGAGTCTGTATTTCCATCTTCCTATACCGAAGCGGAGTTACTAGAGAGACTGCAATCTCGACAAACACGCGATGTACAAAGGCAGTACAAATCAATTTCCACACCCAGATGTCCCTGAACACGTGTATAAACGTTATCCTCTCTCTCTCTCTCTCTATCTATATATAACGAAAATGTCGAATACCAACTATATATTTATTCCTCCTTCACATATCTCCTTTGACAGACCGGTTCGGTTACTCTCGGTTCGATTCTCAAAAAGCGACACTATTTCGAACCCCAGGATAGTCGTTCGGCTAACACAATTCTCTCTTCACAATTGGAATTCCAGGATAGTTTACATCATGGTCGACCGATATCTCAAAGATCGTTACTCGAATTTTCAATCGTTGCTTGGTCAACAGAAATCTTCATGGTTAAAGTATCAAGATATCTATATCTAAGTCGATTCGAACCCCGAAGATCGCTACTTTATTCCAAACTCCAATCTCCTACTTGGTCAACAAAAGTTTTGCCGAACTCAATGTTGGAACATCGGGGCTTAGTTACACTGGGGATCGATTCGATTCCCGAAGATCGCTATTTTATACCGATCCTCGTCGTTGCTTGGTCAACAAAAGCTTTTACGACAGCTTGAAATGCGACGACAATACGAACCAGTCGGTTGGCCGGGAAAATCTCGCCCATTTATCTTCATCGGGGACTCCGACCTACGATGCAATCGATTGCAACCAAATCCAAACCGATCGAGAATACTTGACAGATATGTCGCGGTGAGTTTCATCGATAATGAACCAATGCATACTCCGGAAGTAAATAATATCTCGAGAGTATCGCTACTACAATGCACACTAATTATCTATGCAATTAATGTCGCTAATTGATATTCGTGATATCACTAATTGGCATTCAATCTCATCTCAGTTCATTTTTCATCCTAATAAATTATTGAGTATTTATGAGTACATGTCAAAACGCTCTTATATCATAATTTATCTAATTTCTGTTTTAATTAGTAGACATTTATTATATATTAGTAACCTAAATATTCACATTAAATATAACACACGTTTTCGCCATATAAGTTATACAATTTTTCAAATTATATGATAATATTTATTTTATTATACGTATGTATAAATGCATGTATATTCATCTCTAATTTTCAGTTTAGTATTTTGTTCTCAGTTTTGTTACATTACACTCGATATATATTCGAGATATCCTCGAGCGTTGCAACAGCTGAGAGGTCAAAGGTCGTGAAACATGGTTGCAAGCACACGTAGTCGATTAGTTACTATGCCCGCATAAAGCGACTGTCTACGCGTCTTCCTTCGGTGGTTCGCCTTTCCCTTTGCGCGCCCTTTCCTTTCCCTCGGCGAAGGAAGTCAAAGCGAACTCGGCGCGGATTTTGAGCCGAGTGTCGGATTCGCCGCCGTTCACTTCAATAGGGGCCGTTTAAACTTTTAATGATCGTCGCCGGTCCTCGAGCAGCATCTTCGCCGGAATAAGCCCCTCGAGTCGACCGTGCGGATGTTGGCGAGCTCTGCTGCTTCTCTCTTTCTCTCTTTTGCGCTCCTATCTTTCGCGTTTCTCTTTTTCTTTCTTTGCGGAAAAAGACCGTCTCTACTCGGACGCTCTTATAGAGTCTCTCTTTCTTTACCAACAGCTTTTATAACTCGATGCTTATTATTTTTATTTTTGCGACTTGATTCAAGAGTGCATATAATCTTATTTAATTTATATTTATGCGAAAGAGTACGTCTTTTAAAATGAAAAATGTGACATGTATAATAAATGGAATGTATTTTTGCGAATATAAATAAATTCCTCAAAAATGAGAAAAGCAGAACTTTCGAATATATCAAGTTATATAGAATACCTACTATTTTTGTCGAAGAAAAATAATATATTTTGTCTAAAAAAATATATTCTCACTCTATTAACGTTATTAATTTAATATAAGTATATATTATATAAACCTTAAAGTCTTCGTATTAAAATGATTAAAATTATAGAAAAAATATTTCCATCTTTTGGTGAAAATTTGACGAAAAAATAAAATGTACTTTTTATTCCATATACTATCTCTATATCATTAAAGGGACACCCCAACATCTTTCCTCACTAGTCAAGCGGAATTTCCCCTAGTTTTCCCTATTCTCTCCCTCTGCAATTTCCCCCTCATTCATCGCTTCGATGAAGATCGTAGTAGTCTAAGGACACGTAGCTAACGACGATCGTCAATTAACTTAACAATGCGCATTCGAGATGGTCCTCAAAAGTCTCAAATCGACATTGAAGGTTCAATCACATCAAAAGTCTCCTGCCATCTCTGAATTTGTAATTTCGTACGCGTTTCGACCGAAACCATATTTTTTTCGATCATTATAATAATGTACGACGTATAAGGACCTCACGAGAAAAGAATAATAAAATGCCAAAAAGTTTCCTTTACAAAAAGCGAGATGATACGAACAGCTTTCGCGAACTAGCTTTTACAAGAAGATTGCGACCGGTATAAGATCGCTTCCTTATACGAGCGCTTTTTGTACGCATACACAAGGTCTCACCACTTTTGTTCGAGACAGAGAGTAAGAATATCGAGGGTCTGTGCTCGAGGGTCGATTTTCTCGAAAAGGGTAACGTCGCTTAAGACGCTAAAACGAAAAGTGGGCGAGCTGAAGACGACGAATTGATAGCTCTTCGCTTGTACTCAGCGTATCAAAATCGATTGTTCTTTTTCTTCGACGTTTTCTTTTCTATTCTTTTCTATACATATACAGAATGTCCCGGATTCCTACAGCGTTTCTTTTATCTGAATTTTTGTACCAATTTAAAGTCGAAAATTTCATCGTTATTGTTACAAGATTTTAATCCGCAATGTAATTGTGTTTCAGGTACAGTACTCAAGCGAAGATGGTAGATACGGGCACGGGCACGCTTTATATTATCGGCTCATTCAAGAGGATGACAACCGACCCAGATTTTAAGGTACACAATTTCGTATACATATGGTGTATGTAATTAGAGAGATTTAGCTTAAATATAAATTTTATACTCGAATTGTTAAGTTTCGATTTTTTATCTTCAATCTGCTTATTGAAACATAAATCTGTAAAAAAAAGGAACCAACATCTTTTCTAATTCATAAAACTTGAGGAATGCTGTATCTTGTAATGATATATATCTAACACATTGTGAGGAGATCCGTCCGTAAATTGGACCACGGTTTATTCATCGACTCTCCTTAATTATTAACAAACTCTCAGGCTTGTCGTACAACCAGAGAAATAATCGTTTCAAAAAAATTACGCTCTATATATACCTTCATTATCTAATCTAAAATTAATCAGAAAGTAATCATATAAAAGGTTTCCTTCCATTAAAAATTCAATCTTTTAATTCTTATCACAATTCAAAATTCCATTCTTTCATTCAATTTTATCCTTTTAACATACCTTTGTTTTTACTCTTATACTTTCACACCTATATATAAAATGAGAAATATATAATTCTTTTAAACAAAAACAAATTTCAATTCTCTTTCATAAATTTTTTCCGTGTACTTTATTTCACAATACTTATTGTTTCGAAAGAACAATGCTCGCATTATTCTTTCAAAAGATACGATAGATATTTTATCAGAAGCTCGCAGTCTGCCCCGACTAATCCGCAGATTGTCGGATTACAAGGAACTTTGTCTCTGTGTAATATTTATGCTTGCGTGCGACGCAAGAGTTTACAGTGTCACGATCAACGTATCGTTATCACGGCCTCTGCATAAAAATCGCAGTGAAACGTATACGAGTGCAATTTTTTTTCAACGCTTCTATCGCGAAGCTCGGAAGCGAGAAGCTCGACAATAATTAAATAAATATACCGCAACGTGGCGAGAACTTTATATTGTAATGCGCGAGCGCGTTTCCGCAATTATAAAAACAGTTCGCGCGTTTTCTGCGAGCAAACAAATTAAAGAATTGCATTTTCCCTTCGCGGCGGATGTCCATCCCGCTGGAACGCGTGCGAATCAACAAGATCGCTTGTAAAAAGAAATAAAACATACACACACACTCTAATGGTTGTCAAAACGCGCGAAACCGCCGCGTGACGCTGCGGTATTTTCCCGACAATAAATTTCATGTTCGTCAAAAACACGCAAAATAACGGTTATCGAATTTATCACTGGGAATTATTATGTCACGTTAATATCATCCGTCATAATCGATGCGTCCTGTCGATAACATACGTACGTTTAAAAAATACGATTCCAGGGCGTCGCGCGGTCGTTAATCTTTTTATTGGAAAATACGTCGTGTCCACTCTCGCCGTTACAATTGCATCGATTGACTCTTACGCGTTGAAAACATAATATTAATTTATAGCTTTTGACCCTTTCAATTTCCGCTCTCCGAAGAGAGTCGAGAGTACACGGGGAATCTGGGAATGGAGCACCTCTCGGAGGATAACTATCGGCCGACAAAAGGCGTCGAGGCGTTTTTCGCGTGTGTTCGTGGCACGCCTCGGGGACCCGTTCTCGCGACGTTTATTGAGCCAGCGGGAGAAAAGTCACGTCGGGAACAGACTTTTTTCCGCGCGCGCGAGAGAGAGAAGGAGATCCCGCTGTACCAAATGTTAAAGTGGATGCTATCGCGCGCGCGCCGACAACCGGGAGGAGTCGTATAGAGAGAGAGAGAGAGTTGCCGCGGGATTTTACGAGCGTACTAAAACCCGAAAGCTGTAACGTGTACATACATACGTGTTGCCGAATGTACCGGCATACAGAAAATGTGTATCAGTAGGTTGCTCGCCGCGTCGGTCGGACAATAACGCGTATCCGCGCAGCCATAGCTGTCGCGCGTGCAATTTTGATGGAGAGATACAAAGCCCGCATATAAAAAAAAAAAAAAAAAAAAAAAAAAGCATCGACCGTGTTAGAAATCGGTGGACGCGAACTCGGGCTTTTGCCTCTGTATTCTGATAACTATCTATCGAAATGCATCAGATGCTGTGTTTGTGTGATGTCACAAATATTATTATTATTATTTAATTATTTCTAGAACACGACGCGAGCATGCAGAATTTTTGAATGTGAATTATCAAAGGAGTTTTCCAGAATGTTTTAATTAACACGTTTTATGGCTATTTTTTTGCCCACCACTCGTTAACTTTTAATTACAAATAGTCGGACTAAGAGATCTATGCGAATGTTTTTAGTCGCGCTTTCCTGCGCATAAAAGGGAACGGGTATAAATTTGTGTTTTGGAGAGTCTCTCCGAGAAATGAAATAGCGCAATGTGAAAAACATTTTTCTTTTTATTATTATTCTCGTTTCGCAGTACTCTATTATATATCTTAAAAATATATCTATTATATTTTTACATTATCTTTAAATGTTAAGAGCTGTTAAATGTGCGGAGCAGAAATAGGGAAAAAAATCATGCAAATTCCTTTCCCTCTCTTCTCCAGTTTTGTACAGAGATCACTGAATATCGATATCGATCTGCCGCCCTGTTACAGCTGTACCTGACATCGAACGTCTCGTCGAGCGACTTCAACATGGGTTACAGTATGACAGGCACGCTGGAACGCGGCTGCAAGAAGACCAATTCTTTCCAGATGACCCACTTCGCGGTGATACGGCGACGGGACTACGAGAAGGCGTACGAGGACCCGAATCCCACCTAGTGTCCGTCCACACCCACGCTTTCCGAGTGTGGGGACTGCGAGCATTACACATAGTTGGGAAGGCAAGGGGCCGTCGAGAGAAGGAGGACAAGATGCACTTCCGCATGTATGTGTATCGCGCCAACCCATAAATGCTGGGCAAGAAGTTGCTCTTCGGCGCGAGATCGATCGCGAATTTCCCAGAAATCCCGAAACTCCTGGCGGGTCGGTAAACGGCCTCCACGATATATGACGGAAATCTTTCTCCACTTGCGCAGAAATACTCGTGTAACATTAGATCGCTAAATAATTGTCTGTGCGTTGAGAAATATTTTTATCATTATTTCTTATTTTTGCTTCGAAAGGAAACGTAGTAGAGAAATAAGGCGTGGACAGAAAAATTGCAGACATAGAAACAAGCAAGATGAAGAAAAGAAGTAAGAATTAAGAGAGTAAAAAAGTAAACACTGCAATTAGAACGGAATCTATATTTCTCTTGTGTGAGACATCATGAGGATGGAAGATAATCAAAATAAGGTGTAAAAGGGGGAAGCTTTAATTCGCGCAAAATCAACATTAGCTCGTGGTAATAAGAGATTACAGAGATGAAAGGTGAAAGAAAAATATCAAGATAGAGTAGATTGTAAGGAGAGAAGGATATCAAGAGCTTTAATTTACGCAAAATAAAAATATTCCTCTTTCACGCAAGATTTCTCTTCTACGAAAAATAAACCCTTCATAAAAAAATCTCTCGGCAAACAAATTCTCGAACAAAATGTTCCGCTTATGCATTATGCATTAGACTTTTATAACTTTTATTTGTTTACCGAAGCTTACGTCAAGATTCAATTAGCGGTCTAATGGATTACACTGGTATCTCTGTTATCTCGAATTCTCAAGGCACGTCATTTTTGCACGTCAACGAGTCCGAGAATTAAACGAGACCTGACAGCGACCTGGAAACGAAACAGCGGCATCACGTTTTGAGAAGGTAAGAAGAAAGATCAAGGAAGATCGGATCGTTATATTATTATCCGCGGAGAAACGAAATACTACCAAAGCCGAGCGTGTGACGGCCCTGCGCGACAGAGCCAAACGTCCAAAAAAATAGTCCTTAATTTAGATCGAATTAATTATAGCTCTTAATGAAAATCGGCGAACGATTGCGTATACCTGTATAAGCGAGATGAAGAGTATTACAAAGAGGGGCGAGACGACGTTGATCGGGAAAATGCGGGAACCGTTTTACCAAAGTACTAGCACGTAAGTCACTTGCAACTTTCCGCCACGCGATAACCCGAGATAACGTGGCAATGCAATCTCCTTCAATCTAACAAGGTACACTGCTTCTCATCGATTGACGCCATCGATGCCGCCGCCGCCGCCGCCGCTTCGTCGCGATTAATAAGTGATTAGCGATTAAGGCTTTTTCTCGGTGAATTTTCACGGCGACTCAGCTGTTTAGGGTAGAATTATATGTGCCAATACAAAGCCATCGTTGACGAGCACTGTACCTGACAATTGCTACGAGTCAGAGCGCAAGAACGCGCAATATTGAAAGCCTGAACCGGACAAGAAACGATATTTCCAGCCCCATTTCACGATTAGACTCGTAGACATATGTGGAGTCCAAAAGACGTTTAAACGAAATCGAGAGAAAAAAGAATTAAAATGTCAATTTTTTTGCGATTTTTTACGATATTGTCAATTGACTTTCTGAAATGACAAATTGCCCAATTTTTTGGTATAACAATTTAATTTTTCGTTATATAATATATAAATTCCCATAAATAAAAACAAGAATTAATCAGAATATTTTATTAACGATATATTTGTCCTGCCTCTTCGATATTTATAAAATATATAAAAAAAAAATTGGTCTCTCAAATTTTTGAATATATATATATATACAGATTAATTCCTCCGAATAGATTAAGAATTCACTTGATTTATATAGCTTTAGTTACATCAATTGCTATAAAATATATAAAAAAAATTGGTCTCTCAAATTTTTGAATATATATATACAGATTAATTCCTTCGAATAGATTAAGAATTCACTTGATTTATATAGCTTTAGTTACATCAATTGCTTTATTCGATCGTATCTCTGCCCATGGACAGTTATTGCATGTCGAGTTTGATGGTTCGCCGGGGTGGAAAATTTCATATGCCGGGCCCCCGTGTCAGAACGCCGGTTATAAATATCGTTTCCCCGGCCCAGGCTTTATAAGCAGTATATAGCTATATAGCGTGTAGCCGGCTTACAAGGTATTTCAAAGCTTGTTACGCGCCCCTTTCTTTGAGCCATCGCCGACGGACGTCGCTCAAGGAAGGAAGAATGAGAGAATGAGAGCTTCGCTGCACTGACCCCGGACACACAAAGCGCGAGAGATATCTCTCTCTTATCTTACGTTACCTTACATACGGGATCGTCGTGAGCCGGTGATGTAACGCATAACACGATACTTATTTTTGCTAAAGAGTAGAAAGTCGCTCACACCAGTCGCACGATGCATCCCGATGAGATCGAAGTCAGTGCTCGCCGATCGTTCGTTCGGGAGAAAAAAAGAAGTGGCGAGTCGAGAAAAAAAGGCGGGAAGAAGAGCTCGTCATTGATCAAATGTGACAAATTAGAGATTCGCGCAAAACGAGAGTCTTTCCATATTATATACGAGATTGATTTGTATATTAGCGAGTAGAGATGAATTTATGTCGCGTTTAAACAATGTGATTATTGTTACTTTTACTGTAGCCCTTTTCGTGAATATTCGGCAATATTGTCAATGTTATCGATGTCACATCATATAATTCGAATCGCTCTTCTATATGATACATAAACGTTATCTAACAGCAGAAACATTTCAAACATAAATTATTGAATATAAGTATATTTATATGTTGAAATAGAAATCAATTTTATTTAAAACGAGAAGTATAGATTTGAAATATTTATATCTTCATTTGCAAAATTAAATATTGTATACAGAATTTTATTTAACGCATAAATGAATTGCATTTATGGTAATTTTATAATTCATGTGCTTACACAAATATTTTAATTTTCTATTTTAAATATCCTTTTTTTGTTCATCTGTGTACTTTATTGGACGCACAATGAATGGCGAACGAGCGGTCGAAAATTTTACTATAATGAACTCATGCGTAACTTCCTTTTATAGTCTTCGATGAGAATCTAGTACCTTCCGCTTTTGCTCAAGGAATTATCTAATGCCAAAAAATACTATGTGCAATAGAGCGCAAAGAAGTTAAGTCGTTTGCATTTTGATATTATAATATATGTTGTGTTGAGAGTTTCCTTGTTTACTAAGTTTTCAAGGAATAAAGTAAAATGGATTTTTTAGCGTTAAGAGCAAAATTGTAGAGAGCGCTATTCTAGATTATTTATCTCGAGAACGCACTTCATGAACGATTATTAACGTGAGAAACTCGTCCAATTAATCCTTTCAGTATCAAATTCGAAATAAATGTCTTTAAAATTTATTTTCATTAATTCTATACATTTTAAAACTTTTTAAAATTTTAACAAATTTTTACATGAATATTTTGATATTATATCTGAAATGCAAGTAATAATCATCGAAATACAAAGAGAAATAATACTTAAAAAATGAACCAATTTAGGATTTAATAAATCGTTATTAATCTTTAAAAAAATTTTAAGTTGTATAGTTTTAAAAATTATTAGACACTTTATTTTCAAGGTATGACAAATAATGAAAATCGACGTGCAATATACTGAAAGATCGTTGCGATTCGTTGTTTTAGTTTTTCGTTGCTTTAATATTGCCGATACGTTGATGCTTTTTTTGAATTAGCGTAAAGAAAGGCAATCGAATTTCTCGAGCCTCTCGTTCGAATGAAATTAAATGTTACAGGGTTTATAGCGTTGTTTCGCAATTCAAAATGTTGGGAAGAAGTGTTTCTCTTTCAATAATTTTTATACGCGATACTAATCATTCTAATCAACGCTCCGATAAAAATTTCAATTGCTAGAAAAAGAGTAATTTTGTAAATTGATGTTGCTCATAATATAGTAAACTCTCGTTAGCCTAAATCCTCCGCCACTTTGGATCCTTCTCTATTACGAGCCACTACTAGTTTCGAGTTCCTCCGAATTCGCTCTAACGAGAGTTTATTACACTCGTGCTTATACCACTATATGTATATGTAGGGATTACGTTCCTTATTATACTACCCGCATTACTTGGATTGCGAAAGTTAAACAGAAAATCGATAAAATAAATGTACCGCTGCATGTACATATGGTATATATATGGTATATATATGGTGTGTATAAAAACCCGTACACATATATACGCTCACATACACATACACGCATACAATGACAAGCTTCATAAGTAGATGAAATTTTGCAAGATCCTCGTTGATGTTGTAGAACATTAGATTAGCACGCGTCAGACGCTTCTTTTAGCCGATCTAGTCCTTAGATTTAGCACGGACCGCCCGTTATAGCTAGATTGTTTTCGGTAGGCAGTTTACACCGAAGGAATTACACCGAGAACACTCGCGCGAGCTCGAAGAGTAAAATACAGATTTGACGATTTCTTATAAAACAGCATTTCCTTGCTCCGAAGGATATTGCTCTAGAATAATCTAGGATTTCATTCGATCTATCTTTCATCTTATATAATACTTGGCGAGAAACCTCATCGTTTCTATTCTGCAGTGGCTCCTAAATTCAACAACGGAATTTCCGGCGTCAAAGTTCAAAGGAAACGTCGACGTCTCGCTTAGCTTCTTTTTAAGATTCATGACCGTCAGTTTATGACCGCTCCCGGTCGATTTCGACAAGAAACTGATATATGAGCGCAGAACTTGTTAAGAACCCCGGATAAATGTCGCAGTTATTCAATGTTCTATATACTATTTGTGTCGTTTACGACCGGAAATTTCCGCTGGTCTTTAAATACTCGCAAAACGCGACAAATATTTCTAATTGTCGCAGCAAAGCGCAATGAAATGTTATCAAAAATTTATTTTATTTTATTAAATTGTAAGTCACTCGAACAATTCTGTATAATTAATATATATTTTGCATATTATCGATTTATTTAGATAAGCTGTGTATTATTCATGTTCGATGCGAGAGTTCTCGGTTTCTCTTCGGCGGAATATTATTTTTTCGCCTAAAATGTTAGTGATCGTGTTTTCACTTTTCGGGATAGTCTTCTATAGCCTTCTAGGATGATTTAAGTAAACACATACGTCCGATATCACGGTCCCTCCTAACTACTTAGCCGTAGCTAGACCCACTGATGCACGCTTCCTTCGAATCTAAAGAGGAATCACCTATCTTCGTCTTCGAGCTGCACAACGGGTCTCTAGTCTATCTTATCGTGTCACGCTACTTAATTGCATTCGAATCGTCTAAGATGTATTTAAATGTGTTCATTTAATTTTTAGACGTATATTTTTAGATAGTTACATTTATTTATCATTCTGTAAATATATAAATATCTTCTCAAGAATTTTCAAGATATCTTATACTTACGCCAAGGTATAAAATATTTCTTGGAGAGAACTAATTTTTTTTATTAAGAAATTTAATTTGATATCGAATCACATTTTTAATACTAAAACTTGATTAATAAATAAATATTTAAAAAATTAATAGTAAAGATTAATGATACAAATATTTGATGGCGCCTTTAATCCTTGTTGAACATGATATGCATATATAAAAATATTGCGTCTCCTTTTCCAGGACTTGTATTTTACTAACAAAGTGGAACCTCTTAAAATCGATCTCGGCGATTCGAATGCGGAATAGGAAGCGTACCGTGTCCTATCTTCGAGATGTAGCGAAAGTATAAAACGTAGAGAACGCCAAGAGTAGTAATCGTATAGCGAAGTCGATGGTCGCCGTCTTTCGTCGTGTTTCATCGCCGGGCGTCGCGACGCCGTCGACGGTTCTGCTTATGTCATTCCTCTCCGAGAATCGATCTCGATATGTATTTATTTCGCGCGTTCACCTCTTTCTCTTTGTCCTACTCCCGCTCTTCTCCCGTTAGGACGTCAGTCTCGAGTCTTTACCGCTCACGTAATGTCGATCGGCAAATTTTATTTTTTCTAGGCGGCAAAGATCCGCGACTCACGATCTCACGGCCTTTCAATAAATAGCGCACCGTAAAAGCGTCGCGATGGATCGGTGATGATTTTTGTTGGGATGCGACAGTCGGATCTTTTATATGGTATCGAGAGATGAGATTGAAATTAGCGGATGATCAACAAATTTAATGTTTCGCGAGCAAAAATATGTATAATTCAAAATTGATAATTTATTTTGCTGTATTTTAAATACGATAAACTCGCAAGCAGGTAATGATAATTAAGCAATTTCAATCTAAAATAAAAAATATTACCATATATAATTCGAAGCGCATGCACATGAAAATAGCTTCATAATTTATTGCATATCTAAATATTATGCTAAAATTATTTTGAGATAATGAAATCCATATGTATATAATATCACAATATTATTTGTGGCTTTCTGATTTTCATAGTGTGCTTACATCGAATACGATCTTTACATTAGATGAATAATGTGCAAATTAAGTAGTTATTGTACATTTTGCATCAGTAAAAATACGAATAAATATCTTCGTTTATTCATTTAACAAATATTCTGTTAGCATATTATGTAAATATGGTTAATCACAAAAATACCTAAAATTGGATTTCATTAAGTTTAGGCTGTTACGAATGATCGAGCGACTGTTGCATCCGTGTCTCGTCGTGTAATCGATGTGTAGTCATAGTAAATAGGAAGAATTAAAAAAGAATGTATCCTTGTAAACTTCTAAGCGGATTATGATACTATATATCTATCTTAAAAGAAAATGAAAGAAAGAAGAAAAATACGAACGAAAATATTCGTATTCAAAGCAATGGCTGTGATTCTCATTAATTAATCAATAAAAATCGGTTCATATTACATTCGACACATTATATATATAAAATATATATATAGATATTATATATTATATATACATATATATAGGTTACGGCGATATATTTAGTGATAAAAGACATGATATTTTGCACTGTTGCGTTTTGCGTTTTCTTTCTTTTCTATATATCTTTCCTTTTTTTTTTTTTTGATAATCGAAATTTATGGTCGCGCGCCTCTTCGCGACGACGGCGGCGGCTTTATTTTTTTATCTGGTGCTAAATCCTAGAGAGTACCAGCGCATGCGATTTCGTTGATCGAGACATCGATCAGTCCCTAGGCGTCGAATATCGAAGCCGGTAGAATTTCAACAGCGTAGACACGCAAAAATGATCTGTAAAACGCTAGTCTGAAATACGAGGTGATATTTTACGCGTGATTCATGAATGAAAGCAGAGCAAAAATCCGCTACAAATGGTGGTTTCTAAAACATAGTTTTTTTTTTTTTCATTGTTACGCGAATGCGACAATTTAGTTTGTACAATTGTAAATATAAAAATTTTATAATAATCATTTAAAAAGTTACTAGCATAATTTTATAGAATCAATTTTTATAATATATTACTCTGCTTTCAGAATTAGAAAATTAAAATCGTTGTATAACATAGAAGCTAGAATTTTCACAATCGTTGAAAGCATGAAGCTCTATTTTTATTCTCCATGTGCGTGTGTGTGTGTGCATATACACCGATATACATCACGTTGTTAAAATATCGTCGTCTATTTCAAACTCTGTTCTGGATTTTTATTTATTTTTTTTTTTTTTATTTTGCGAACCGCAAAAAATACGAAACGTTTTCTCGTGTTTACAGCGCGCGAAATTGAACCTGGCGAAATTATATTGGTTTTAATCCTAGTATCGGGAATGCTGTGGTTACTAGAATAACCGACGTTCGCGTGTCAGCGAACGATTGCTCA